TGTTAATTAAATTATATAAAAAACAATGAAACGAAATTTCAACACAATTATCAAATCCCCCAACAATATATTTATGAAATAATTTTGAGAATTATATAATATAAGAAATAGTAGATAAATATAAATAAAATTAAAATGAGAATTCTAACCTTAATTATTTTTTATCTATATCCTGCCAAAAATAAGAAAAAAACATTGCATTGTTATAAATTATGATTTTATTAAAAGAAAAGGAAATAAAAAGTATAAATCAAATTTAAAAGGAGAATTTACCTCATAATTATAGTATTAAAATCTGCACACACAAAAAAGAAGAAGAAGGAATTATTAGTCTATCAAATAATAAGATAATGAAATAAGTATAAATGAAAAATAAAATAAAATTAGAGATACTTACAAAAATACAAATGGGAGAGTATAAAAGATGAAAGAAAAAGGAAAAATAAAAGGAGAAGAAGTTGAGAGAAAAGTTGGGACGTTTTACCTGTGAAAAAGAAGAAGAAAGGAAGAGATAACCAAAATGAAAAAGAGATAAGAATGGGATGTTTTGATGCTGAAACCCCTATATAATACAAATATATTTGACAGAATTCTTGTCGATTATACAAAATAAAGTTGTCGAATATATTTCAAATTAAATTAACAGGGAGATTTAATTTTTTTGGGGTGAATGGACGGGCTTCAAGTATAATCGACAGTCACTTTGGCTATCGATTATACTTATATTCGACAGAGAATGGCTGTCGATTATGTTTTGATTTTTTTTTTTATCTTTTTTATAAGAGAATCAATAAAAAGAAATTAAAGGGAAAAAACCAAAAAAAGAAAAAAAGAAAAAAAAGAAGAGAATTAAATAAATTAAACTAACCATTAGTTTAAAAAAATAATACATCAATTTAAATATAAAAATTAAAAGTGGCTGTCAATTATGTTTTGATTTTTTTTATCTTTTTTTTTAAATTTTTTAATGTTTAATTTTTATATTTAAATTGATGTATTATTTTTTTAAACAAATGGTTAGTTTAATTTATTTAATTCTCTTCTTTTTTTTCTTCTTTTAATTTGGTTTTTTCCCTTTAGTTTCTTTTTATTGATTCTCTTATAAACCTTTTGGTTTTAAGGTTAGTAGAAATCTTTTTTTTTTTTTCTGAGGTTATAATTAATTATTGAAATTATAGGTTTGATAAAAAGAATGATGTCCTATTTCTTTACAAAATATTATATTGTATTTTTGTTTTCTTTTTCCTATAAGATTATGTTATATTTTTTTATTATATTATATATTTTGTTTACATAAACTCTAATACTTTACAACTAAAACTAATTTAAATTATGAAATATACTAACTTCTCATCCTATAAAATATATGTATATTATACAGATGTAGCAGACTATAATCGACAGCATTTCTGTCGATTATGTATAGGACATAATCGACAGTCATGTTTCTGTCGATTATACTACTATAATCGACAGAAAGTTTGTCGATTATGGCCTATACATAATCGACAGCCATTTTTCTGTCGATTATACTAGTATAATCGACAGGAAGACTGTCGATTATATAAATTGTCAATTATATTAGTTAAAATCACGTATAATCGACAAATAATTATAATCGACAAAAAAGATGTCGATTATAATAGTATAATCGACAGAAACATGACTGTCGATTATAAATTTGTCGGTTATACTATGTTTTCTAGTAGTGTGTGTAAAGAATCCAAAATTTAGTAAAGATAATTTTAGGGCAATGAAAATTAAATGAAAAATTATGTACAAATTTCTGTTGGAGCTCTTAAAATTCTTGTTAAGATTTTCTTTTGAAAATTAATGAAAGTAACTAGCCTAAGATTAAGTTTGGTAATTTTGAAAAGGAAGGGGACTATTTTTTGTCAAAATAAAAGGTTAGGATAATGTCTAATATTTGTGATAAAGATTGAGGACAAAATTTGTATTTATTAAAAAAAAAAAAACCGAAGATAGGTTGATTTCTGTACGCTTCAATATAAGGATGGCAATTTTCTCCGCGACCCATGGAGCTCCGCGGAGATACCCGTTATGGGGATGGAGATTCTTAGAATATTCCTACCCGTGGGGCGGGGATGGAGGTAATTTTCTACCCGTGAAATTTCACGGGGAATTTTCTCCACCCCGTGAGGAACCATGGGGATCCATATAAAATAAAAATATATATAAATTTGTTTATATATATATTTCGTAAATATATTATCAATAACTTTTTACTTATCCAATTTAATTAGTTAACCCGATACCAACATAACTTAAATTTCACAATCCATTCTTTTATCAATTTTTTCAAACCCAATTCTCAGCCCAACCCAATTTTTTTTGTTAATCTAATAATCCAAAACCTAATTGCCCAGCCCCAATTTACAACCTAATTTACAGGCCCGATTTACATATAACCCTAGCAGGAGGACATTTCACTCAATCTCTCTTTTGCTTGCCGCTTCTTGCAATTGCAAATTGCGAATTTGGAAATTAGGATTCCTCATTCCTCTTTCGGTTGACGTCAGTCTCTCCTCTCTAGTCAGTCTCTAAGTCTCCTCTCCTTTAGTCCCCTGCCACACTCTTGCTCAAACTCTGCCCTCATCTCCACGGATCATTATGAATCGGTGCTTCCCTTCAGCTCTCAACCTCTCACCGACTCACCATGCCGTCTCTCAGTTGGTCTCTCCAGCCAGTGTCTGAGTTTCCTCTCCTCTAATCCTCTGCCACACTCTTGCTCAAACTCTGCCTTCATCTCCACGGACCTTCACAGTGATTCCCTTCAGTTCTCAACCTCGTCGTCACTACAACCCCTGGCCCCTGCTGCCCTGCAATGCTCGCCGCTCGCCGCTCACCGCTCACCTCCAACTGAGCTCCAAGGGTGCCGTTGGGTCATCTCATCTCGCCTCTCACCATGGCACCATGTTGTCAACCCATCATTGCAAGTCAGCAACGCTCCTCACTCACCTCCGGCTTGTTTTAAAAGAGTGATCTTGATCATCTTTGTTTGCTATATGGGATTCTGTAAAATTGCTATTTTCTTTTGGAATTTTGATTAACAAGCAGTGAATGGTGGGGACTCCGAATACCCGCGGGGATGGGGACGGAGGTAATTTTTGACCCTCCGCCAAAACTCCCCGCGGGGATCCCCGTACCCGCCATTGACGGGGATGGGGATGGGGAGGGGGTCCTCGCCCCCGTGGGGACCCGTTGCCATCCTTACTTCAATATTATTAGCCAAACAATTTTAGAAGGGATAATTAAGGATCGTGAATAATTGAAGCGACGAGGTGAGGTGATAAAGGAAATGTGGAGGATATATAGTTCCTATTCCACCTATAATTTTTCGGTGTCCCTCTGGCCCTTTCATCAACAAAATTTCCTTCAAGTGGACTAAATAATGGAGATGCCGACGTTTTTTTGCGTAGAGACTAAAGAGAGGCCATGTTTGGAAGTATTATTTTGACAAAGGTTGCAGCGTTCACACCGTAGAAAAGAGCAGCATAAGGGCTCATGACTGATCTTTGATCGTCATTGTGATTCAGTCAAATGAAAGTAAGGAACCGATTGAATTAATGGTTTGATATATTTGCGGAGCCGTGGAAGTTGAGTTACCCGAATTAATTATTATCACTGCTCGGAATAGTATCACTTAATGATGATATCTTGTTATTATCACGAGTCTCATAAATATGCAGTTTTTCTGAAAATAAGATGCACCCAAATCCGAACCTGTTTCTCCCGGCAGAGGGCCATTCTTTCAGATGCTCTTTGGTGTGTTTTGCTTATATTTTGTCTATCGTCATTCAATCTTCACAAGTGACAAAATCTGGCTTTTTGTTTTACGTTGTTTCTGTGTGAGCTCTTCCTAAGTCTTAATTGCTAAGGAAATATACCGTATTATTTACAGTGAGTTGTGTATCATGGTATTGCATCTTCTAAACCAAGTAATGGTCTCCTTTTACCTTTTTTTTTTTTTTTTTTTGGGTGGAGCTCTCCTTTTACTTTTACTCAATAAATTAATGTCTTACTCTTACCTTTGGTCAGGGCAAATTTTATTTGCCACTAACCATTCAATTAACCCCAATAAACATAAAAAGCTCCTACCCTCTTTTCTTTCAAGACTTCCATCAATGTTACTATTGAATCCTTTGAATCCTTGCTACCAAGGAATGGATAACTCTTTTTTTTTTTTTGGCTGAAAAAAACTTTTTCTTGTTTTTGAGACTCTCATAATGCTTTTGAAGAAGAGAGTATACAAACTTTCATACTTTTATTAATTTAGAATATAAACCTTTTTACTTATTAATTAAGCTGTAAACTTTCAAAAGATACTAATTAAGGGTGCCAATTTTACCTAGCCCTTAATGAATAACTTCTTTTTTATTTTTGGTAAGGGAATGATATATATACACTTTGCCATTACACCCTCCATCACACATTCACTCCGTCTCTGTTTCTCTCTGTTTCTTTCGTTTACCTAGCAACTCTCCTTTTCACCCAGCACAGCTCTCCTCTTCACCCAGCACAGCTCTCCTCTTCACCCAGCACAGCTCTCCTCTTCACCCAGCACTGATTCTTTGATTTTCAACCTTCTTCCTTCTTTCCCCTCTTCCTCCTTTCTTTTTGTTCTTCTTTCCCTCTCCTCCCCTCTTCTTCCTTCTCTTCCTTCCTCCTTGATCTATTGAGGAGATCCCAGATCGGGTTCTCAAGGAGAACCCAGATGCAGAACCCGATCTGGGTTCTGCTGAATGGCCAAGGTGAAGATTGTTGTTGTTGTTGCGACTGCATTGGTGGCTTTTGGAGTAAGGAAAGCAGGAACTCACCGCGTTGGGTGTCTTTAGAGTTAATGGATTAAGTAATGGAGTGAGAATGTGTAACAGAGAGTGAGGAATTGCAATGTGTGCTAATCATCATCCTTTTGGTAAAACCCTGATTAATAACTTACTTCTGTTTTTTTATTTTTTGAGAAAACCCTGATGAATAACTTCTTATAACTTCTTACTATAAATCACAATTACTACAAAATTATCCTCCACATCTTATCATCCCATTTCGCTGTTCTTTTTTAAGTGGACATCCCGAAATTCATTATTTTGGGAGGCCAATAGTCAAGCCCAAACTACTAAATCCATCATCCTGGCGCAAAACCAAAGCTCCAAAACTCCCGCCCATTCCTCAGATGGGCTGAGGTGGCAACTAAACGTCAAACGTTGCAAATTGTCTTCTTCACTTTAGAACAAAATTCTACCTGTTGCAACCGTAGCTTGTGTTTTTTCTCCATCCCTCTTGATAATTTTTTTGGGTTTTCAAATGAATTTAGAATCCGCAAACTTACAGCTTTAGTGTGGTCCGTTATTAAGAGGGTTAGGTTTGGAGATGATTCGGTAAGTACACTTAAAGTATGTCAGAAATTAAAGCATGCATCTACCATTCAAAATGGTATCAATTAAGCAGTAAAATACATAATGATGAGTCCAGCTGGCAATTACATCTTAAACACAATGAAATTGACTTAAATATATAACTTTATTTCCACAAGAAATTGTAATTGAGAGCTCATTGCATCTTTGAGTAATGAAAATTATATGTCTCTATGCTGCACATTTAAAGAAGCATAATCTCCAGCCCAAAATTAGACCGCAAAGGAAAACACTAGCAATGAAAGGAAGAAAACTATAAACTAGATTATAAGTTGAAGATGTCATCGACACACTAGTGGAATAGCAGAAAATGAATAATATGAGTGGAGGGTAGATCAAAATTCCATTTGCCATACCTGTAAGGTAGAGGAGTGCCATCATTGTGAAAACTGTAACACCAAATGTCAGAGTGTTGATCGAATAGAAAAAATTAAACTCGCTTGGGTCCAGGACTAATACCCCAATTTTTTTTTTCGAAAGGCAAAAGATTTAATTGAATGAGTACAAGGGGTACCCAAACCAGTATACATTAGTCAATCCCTAATAGAATGAAGAACCAAAAAACAGTATAGCGTTGGGAGACCCATTTACAAAAACTTGCAGCACTTGGGGTTTAAGATCCAGTCAGAGAAATGTACTTCATTTCCTTTGCTCTTGACCCAGAGGAAGGCTTGAGCTTGAACTTGATCGAAAGTCTTTGTCAAATCCATCGATTTACCTCTAAAGATTATCTCATTCCTGGTAGTCCAAATGGTCCAGACAAGAGAAAACCACACTATAATCCAACCCAGTCGTTCACTACTTTTAGTAGCTAAGGATTCATGTTGGATGAAAGAATCCCAACATGAACCAGCAATAGCAATGGAGAAACCCCACCATTCGAAGCACATTGACCAGATTTTTGCAGTAACTGAGCAGTGGAGAAAAAGATGGTTGCTGTCTTCCACATTCCGTCCACAAAGGCTACACTTAACAGCCTCCATCTCCTTAATTAATCCCCTTTTCAACAAGTTGAATTTTGAGGGAATCCTATCAAGTAGTAGTAACCAAGTGAATCCATAGACTTTGTGAGGAATAAGGGGGTTCCAAATCTTCTCAAAAACTTTTCGGTATGGTGAGGGTTGATGTTGGACCAAAGCAGTGTATCTTGAGCTTGTAGAGTAATCACCCAACTGATCTCGTTCCCAGGTCCAAGTGTCTTCCTTCCCTATGGTCAGGTTGGTCTCCTTGAGAAGCTTGTTGAAATCTTGCATGGAATCTTGCTCCCAAGAGTGTGGGGTGCGTCTCCAAGGAAGGTTCCAAACCCATTTGTTGTCTTCCCATCTACCCATCTCATCAATTATGTTGTCTTTCCCTATAGAAAGCATATATAATCTCGGAAAAACATTAGCAAGCACTCTAGTATTACTCCATGAATCCTTCCAAAAACTAACTTTCTCTCCATTACCGATCCTAATTTGGAAGCCCTCAGACAGCCAAGCATATATAATCTCGGAAAAACATTAGCAAGCACTCTAGTATTACTCCATGAATCCTTCCAAAAACTAACTTTCTCTCCATTACTGATCCTAATCTGGAAGCCCTCAGACAGCCAACCCCTTTTATTCTCCTCTAGTACATCTAGCCTGCACAAATCCTTCCACCAATTGGACCTTGCGCTCTCCCCTTCTTTTACCCAGTTACACCAATTTCCACCGTCATACCTATATTTTTCTTTAATCAGGTTAAAAAGCAACCCAGGAGAACCCTTGGCCAATCTACCCCACCACTTTCCAAGTAATGCTTGATTAAAAAGTCTAAGATCCTTAACCCCAAGCCCTCCATCCCTTTTACTAATCCTTTCAAGTAAGAACTGATCTCCCAATAAACAGTAGTGGTTGATTTGTTGAGGAGATGTTGTGGAAATCAATAATGTTTCCCCGTGTAAAATTATCAGGATTGTTTTCCTGTGTAAAACCTTTTAGTGGGCTAGGGCAAGCTTGGTAGGTGGTAGTAAGGATCAGGGCATATACTACTAGCAAAGCATTGATCAACTTATTTGAAAGCTTCTTATGCTGACGTGTCCTATCCCTTAATAATGCTTTCATGAATGAGAAATCCCAAGATCTCAACGACGTGGCTAAGTTTGGACGTGGAAGAATTGTTGAAGTAGTCCGATGTTTAGGCCTGACAAAGGACATCCATAGTGTCTCTCCTCCTTGACATCAAAGCTGCAAAATCAAAACAGAAATAGATTTATGCCTAAGCACCTGGGATCAGCCCTTTGTCGTCCATCTTGTGCTTGGTTTTCAACTTTTTTTTTTTTTTTCACAGCCATGTACCATTCTTCTCAAACAACCTCAGCTCCTCCGTCATTATAGCCTTCCTTCTTTGGATTTTGCTGCCTCAAACAAATTTTGGAGGTCTTGCAACTAAGTTGCATTTTCTGAGTAAATAAAAAACAAGAATTTTGGTACCTCAAAGTGCTGCTTCATCATCTTTTACATCTTTTACAGCTTCCTTGGGCTAAAGATTTGGCTACTGAGTCATGAAAATGACTTGATGCAATGTTGAGTACTCTCTTGGTCCCAACCTACACCTTCACAAGCCATCCTTGCCTCTATAGACTAATGCTGTAGCATAAACACACCACCCATACCAGCAACATAAAACATCATCAAACTAGCATCTTTTGCTCATACTTCTTACAAATCTTCAGCCTCAATAAGATTGAAGGACGTCAAGTTAACCTTCAACTTCACAACTTCACAGCTTCACATACTCTCTTTTGCCTTAACAAATTGGTTGCATCTTTTTGTCAACCACTTTCAAAGATTGAAGGACCTAAAGTTAACCTTCACAAAATCACAGCATCTTTGCTGCATTTTTGGTCAGAGGAGTTTGCTATGGTTAGAAAAAAAAAAGGGGGGGTATTTTGAAAGAAAAACTTGCTGGCAGCCATTTGGGTTTGGATGGAGTTTGTGGTGGTAGATTTCCCTCAAATCTCTCTCACACAAGCCCTCAAAGATCATGAAAGGTTTTGATACCTTGTTGATTTTTTTCAAACAAAGAAATGGAGAGAAAATCAAGAAGAATATAAACGAAGATGGAGAGGAGTATAACATTCCAACTTAGATTTTTCATTAACAATGTTTGTTATATATAGCAGAATACAAACTTTAAAACAATTCAAAATTCAAAATTTTTTTGTATTTTTCTAAGCAACTATTCTACATAAAAAGCAACAATAAAAGTACATCTAAAACATTAAAAGACAACCAATTTTCATACATGCTTGCTATGACTCTACAGCCACTTTGTAGCCTTTCATTTCATTTGCATTTCATTTATTGTTCATTATAGCTTCATCTTCATTAACATTTACAACTTAGCTTGCTGCACATTTTTGCTGTCATTTGACAGCTTCTTTACCATCATATTTACAGCTAAATTGTTGCCATATTGGTTGTCAAATTGCAGCTTCATTTGCTATCAATTTTCAACCTCATTGCTACTGTTTCATGGCAGTTTCATTTCATCATATTTTATAGGTTTGAATGCCACATTTCTAATAATATTTCCAATAGTGTCTTTGTCGTTATTTTGGCCTTCTAATATATCTAGAGTTTTCTGACTTTTCAAATTTATCTTGTTCTTGGAGACATTGAATTTTAATAACAATCTCACCATCTATTATAATGAGAAAAAAAATATTGTTTAACTTAGAACTAATATGCATCTATACACTAAAAATAAAAAGGTTGACTTAAGTGGATGCATGAGACTGTATCTGGGGATCATTATTTAATGCAGCTATCTGTTGGGTTAGGCATATCCCTCCTATGTGGAGAAATGACCAATATTTGTTGGACTAAGCCCACACTTGTTAAGCCCACTTGAAGTCACATTTTGCAATCTTTTAAGACAAAGAATGAAGTCTAATTTGGATAGCAGAAGGTGAAGAGCACGTGAGTGGACCAATCGACAGAAAGGGAGAGAAAGCAGGGGAGAATTCTGCAAATTTGGTACAATGCATAGTTTTGCAACTTTGTCCAATCCGCAAAAATTCATCATGGATTGAGCTGAAATTTTGTTTGAGGGTTCACAAGACATTAATCTACATTTTCAACTGTTAGTTTTTCATTTGAAGCTCTATAGGTTCAATTTTTGTGTCCTGAACAGTAACTCGTGTTTTAGCGACTGTCTCCCTTAGTGGTCCCATTTTCTTTGTTGGTTTGTGAGCTATTGTTCCTCTTATTTGATGCTGTTTTTGTGCCTTTTTTAGAAGAGTATATTGTGTACTCACTTTTATTATAATGGAGCTATTCTCAGTGGACTAATGTCACGTGATTTTTACCCATTTTTGAGGTTTTCACATAAAAATATTGTCTCTTGTGTTGGTTGCTTTGCCTTAGCTATTTTTACTATTCTGCATATTTATAGCTATTGCCATAATTTATTTGGACTTAATTTAGCTTGCTCCTAACAATTTCAAATAAATTGGGGAAGATTTTGGTGTTGCTTTTGTTTCCGCTATGCTTAGGTGACATCCTGTTCTTCCCAACACCATCTGCAATACGGTGTTTCCTTCATGGTCCTCCTCATTCAACACTACCCTTTCCCAAGTTGTGCTATCTTTGTGGTTACTCCTGCAAATCCAAGAAGCCAAGAGTTTTGCAGCTTCATAGCTTTTGTTTTTTACAGCAACCTGGAAAGCAGTCTGGCCATGGATGTTCACATCTGTGATGTATTCAGGACATGCCTCCAGAAACTCAACTAAAAGATCCAGTGCTTGGTCAGCTGCAAGATGCAAAGGGTTACCACTCTTGCCTTGGACACGAGCCAGATCTTTGTCGATTTTTAGCAGTTCCCGTACCACTTAAGCTTGATCATTTTGCACGGTTAGATGCATAGGGCTTAACCCAGATGGGTTTAGCTTTCTGGCAAATGATGGCTTTAAGTTCATCATTTCCAAACCAAATTCAACATACCTTTTATTTTCAGTTGTAATTTGTTCATCATTTTGGGCCGGAACCAACTGTTGAACAGCTATGTATAAGGGCGTTTGAGCAAAAGGTCCATCAATTCTTCCCAGAGC